GCCGGCAATCGGGCGAAGGCAGGGTACACCCTGGACAGGTCGCCAATCCATTGCAGGTACTGAGTACATATACAGTAAAATAACATACTTTCCAGAAGGCCAGCAATTCACTAAAAATGTTTTTTATAGGTCTTATGATGTATTTTAATTTAATGAGATAGTGAATTGGTGGGTTTTTGTTAAATGTGAGCAAAATCATCACAATTAAAAGACCCAACAGCTTAAACTACTTCAGTCTGTGTGTACTGAATTTATATAATACGAGTTTCACTATTTGAGTTGAATTACTGAAATAAAGGGACTTTTCCACGATATTCTAATTTATTGTGATGCACCTGTATAAGGTAGTTAACATTAGCTCCACCTTTACCAGCTGCAACATTAAAGTGATGAACATAATAATGCAGCAGTCATTATAATCCAATAGTATCATAGATATTAATGTAAAATGGGGCATTTTGCAGAATGACTACTGGTACTTGGGAATTTCAAGTATGTTTGGTGCTGATACTTTTACTTTAATAGCATTTTGAACGCAGTACTTTTGCACTGTGGTATTTATACCTTCACTTTAGTAAAGGATCTAAGTATTTCTTGTACCACTGTAATTTAATGTTAAGTATACAGTGCACTGTATTATCACTGCCGTACTAATAAAAAAATATGTCGTATCCATTGTGAGCCACTCTCTAGTCCAGTAGGTGGCGGTAATGCACCTAGGCTACTTGCCAACTTCCATTAAATCCAATGAGGAAGAAACTGTTGCTAAGCTAACGTGTTGTATTCGCTGCATGGTTTGTGCTCAGCTACATTTAAAACGCTTTATTACACAGCCACCGGTCACGAATTAACAAGTTATTCTTTAGTCCTGTTGTATTTGCCCGTTCGGGTTTGTACCGATGCCGTGGAGGTGCTGTGTTCCAGGCTGTAAAGGCTACGACGAGGCCAAGTCGATGGGAGTAGTGTTCCACGGGTTACCGACCAGAGACCCGCAGCGCTGCAGAACATGGCTGAAAGCCATCCGAAACCCCAGGTTCGACGAAAACACTCCCATCTCCAAATACAGCGGCGTGAGAGTGTGCAGCCTGCACTTTAAAACAGAGGACTACGAGGAAGACATTAGAGCTAAGATAATGAATATTGCGCCCAAGCCGATGTTGAAGAGCGGCGCCGTGCCGTCAGTGTTCCCCGGAAGAGAGCATGGCGAGCCTCACGGTACGGTTGCATCTCCCCCGACGCCAAAGAGAACCAGGACACAGGTAAATGTTCATCAAAGCTGTCAAGTTAAAGGTTTTTTTTTATTCCCCTGCTAGCATCGTTAACATCACATTAAGGTTTTGTTAGGTATTTCTAGTCAGATACTTGTTGTATTAGGAATGTTTAGAGTAGACAGGATGTCTAGTTAGGCATTCTCATGAATGCTGCAGGTTGCTTATGGTCAAGGATAACTAGATAGAAAAGTTTGTCAGCAGACAGGATTAGTATGATGTGTATAACTGTAGCCATAGCCATAATATTTTCTTATGTTTAATGTCATGACATGTCACTAGAGGTCGTGTGAGAATGTTTTTAGCTACACACACACATTGATTTTCCTCATGTTTTGACTACTGCCATGGTCAGCTGCAAAGCTGGCACCGGAGACGTCACGGTTTGGCGTCTCTGTGTAGTATGGGGCTAGCCCAACCGAGGTGATAAATGTATAGGCCTGTTGGGTTCAGGGGTCTTTCATCTTTCAGCTGCCTGCGTGCATGTTGGAGGTGCAAGATACCTGAGCGTGTAATGTTAATTTTTACCTGTATTCATTGAATAAATCAGCACTGTTTTGAAGTTACTTGGACTGCCTCGTCTCTGAGTTGGCATGGTTAAAAGAACCGGAATCCTACAGTTTTTAATTCGAAACGTGACTTGTTTGGTAAAGGTTGAATAATACAGGGGCGGTTTGGGGGCCCCAGGCAAACTCGAGCATGAGGCCCCTTTTTTGGTGGCCAACTGTCACAAGAGAGGAGTTAAAAGTATCAGACACTGTAAAAATACTTTGTTACTGTGCACAAATGCCATCCAGAGACTAACAGCACAGGTGAATGTGGCGTACTCATTGTAATGTGTGCGAATCCAGAACCTGGTTTTTATTGGTCTGTGCTGCAGCCTCACTGTACACTTACTGCCACGAGTAGACCTGGTGCAGATTTGTCAACACATACAACAGTGATGAAATGAAATGGCCCACAGGCTCAACAGGTTTTTATATGTTCCACATTTAAAGCTACAGGCGGGTTAATGTGAACCTGCTCTGAATGACGCAAAGTACCACCGCTGTCCTGCAGTCTGTTTTGATATGTCTGTTGTTTTCTCCCCAGGCCATGTGTGGATCTGCAGGCAGCTCCTCTCAGTCACTACCAGCAGCTGGCTCAGAAGAAAGCTTCTGTGTCGTGGTGTCAGTCGACCCTCTGGATGATGGCAGCCTTCACTCAGAGCCAGGTTTCAGCTCAGTAGCAACTTCTGATGAGTCTGATGAAGACGTTGACGAGGACTGCACGATTGTTTACAACCGTAACCTGATGGAGTTGTTCAGAATGTGTCAGATGTGTGGGCAACCCATATCGGAGAAGAAGGTTCTCCACTCAGGAGCCCAGATGAGGGTGAAGTGGAGCTGTCACGGTGGGCACTCTGGTACGTGGAAGTCCTCGCCTCACCTGAGAGATGTGCTGCTGTAGCATCCATCTGCTGAGCAAGTGTTGAACTCATGGGGCCTGTTTACACTGAGCAGGAGGGGGTTACTGTCTGAAATGATGAGCCAGCAGCTGAAGGACATGTCAAACCACATCTCAGGTGACGGATGCTGTGATCCAGCAGTTCAACTGCCACTACACCTTTATGCTGGACTCCACAGAGGAAACTGTCCAGGTCAGTGGTTCACGGACATGAGAAATGATTTAATCAGGAAGATGGACTTCATCATCATCAATGTAACTCAAGTAAACAGTGCAGTAAAAAGTGAAAGGTGCTTCTTTGACCATCGTCATGGCAGGTAACCATCATCACAGTGTGACACCAGATAAAATGCAGTCGCTGTGTTGTCACATGTAAATTCTGATCAAACTGAAACAGTCCAGTCGAGAACCTACAGTGGTGTGAAAAAGTGTTTGCCCCCTTACTGATTTCTTATCTTTTTGCATGTTTGTCACACTGTAATGTTTCAGATCGTCAAACAAATTTATATATTAGTCAAAGATAACACAAGTAAACACATCATGCAGTTTTTAAATGAAGGTTTTTATTATTAAGGGAAAACAAAATCCAAAACTATATAGCCCTGTGTGAACAAGTGTTGGCCCCCCTGTCAGAACACTGGTTTATCGCCCCTGAGTTCAATTTCTCTAGCCACACCCAGGCCTGATTACTGCCACACCTGTTCGCAATCAAGAAATCACTTAAATAGGACCTGCCTGACAAAGTGAAGTAGACCAAAAGATCCTCAAAAGCTAGACATCATGCCGAGATCCAAAGAAATTCAAAAACAAATGAGAAAGACAATAATGGAGCTCTATCAGTCCGGAAGCACACAGTTGTCAACAGCATCACCGTGACACTGAATGAAACTTTTCTGAATGAATGAAAAGGTTCTGCAGCTTCTGGTTTCCAAGTGGGTTTATGGAGGTTTGTTCTGGAGGGACATCGGTGATGATATTATGCAAGAAATGTCAAATTTCTGGTTCCAGCTTCTAAATTAAGAGGATCTGCTGCTTTTTTGTTTTTGGGTCTTACAGTACTCTGGACTGGTGGAGCCAGTGATCAACCTTTGATCAGGTTTCCTCATTTCCTGTCTTTGTGTTATGCTAAGGGTTTGTACAACCTTTACTAATAACAGAATTAAAAATATTTTCTAAAATGTTGAAACATGTCTTTAATAAAGCTTGTATTGTGAGAGAGGACAAGAGACCTGGATTGGATGAAAAGTGGGGCTAACAGAAAGAGTTGTGACAGCCAGAGCGTACAGGAGACCAGAGTCGACTCTTACCAGACTGGGCCAGCAGGTGATGCCGACCTTGGTGTGCAGGGTGGTGGAGAGGAGGATGAGGAGCAGCAGGGTGAAGAGGAAGGCTGTGCAGCTGACAAACTCAAAGAAATAGAGAGCGGTGCAGCTCAGGCAGCTGCTGACCACCTCCTCCAGGATGAAGGCCACGAAGGACAGGACCTGAAGGAGGAAGACAACCGGTGCCATCACATGAAAAGGGCATCAGTGTTGGTATAACTGTGATATAAGCTCTGCAACTGATTATGTAAGAATCACAGAACACAAGGAAAAACCAGCAGCTCTGAGAAGCTGGAGCTACTGTTTTTACTGCAAGTGACAGTCACCTCCGCATGAACGTACAGTCAAGTGCCGGGTGCTGCAGAGCAACAGTGGTCAACATTACTAATATAGTGGAACATGTATTCCCAGTCTGAGTGGAGAGTAAACTCTCTGCAGGGTTTTATCAAAAGTGAAGTGCCTGTTGTGGTAGAACTGGTCTGACTGCTCAGCTCTGTGTGTGTGTGTGTGTGTGTGTGTGTGTGTGTGTGTGTGTGTGTGTGTGTGTTGAGTACTTCTCAAAACACCGTCCCGCCATGTGGGCGTCCCGGGTGGGTCTGACCACACTGATCTGAGTCAACAGGAAGAGAAAGGAGGATGCCAGACATTGCTGCGGGACAACCACCCCCACACAGGAAGCTTTAATGGTATGATCCACATCCAGCCCTCAGTGATGGAAACTAAGCACATTAAATAATGTACATAAATACTTCTGACCTCCACCTTATGCTCTTAAGTTTTCATTTTTTGATAACTTTGTACTTTATTTAAGCTTCTCACGTGACCTGCCACGTGTCAGAGGAAAGATCCTTTTCACTGCACAGACCCACACTGGCATACTCTCTTTGCATTCAGCTGCACCACACAGTAAATCCACAGTAAAACCAAAATCAGGAGCTGAACGAGGCTAAAGGGCTCCATGATTACTGTGTCATTTGAGGCATCATTAATGTAAAGCTCCAGACAAATAGAGCTTCACAGGCAGCACATAGTAAGGGTAGTTTCTGTTTCTCCCTCTCTGTGCTGTTATTTTGGTCATGTGGTGAACCAGACTCTGCTGTAATTACACCACTGGGTTTTACTCTAGGAATCTTCTGGGTGTCAGTGGGCTGAACATCTGCTCATAAAAAGTCTGGGTTGTCTTCAAAGACAGCCACAGAGCTAAACTCAGACCGCCTGATGTCAGAGTCTGCTCTGTACAAATCACATTACACTGCTGAGCTTCACCATTGCCTCTGCTCAGGGTCTGAACACACACCTGGGTTTGGACCTGTGACTTTCATCCTTTTCAAACACATCTACACAACATTTTGGAGTCAAAGACAAGACACACTCAGTATTTATCACATTACAAAGACGTGTGAGAAGCCTCCGGCTACTCATTAACACCTGACCGCCCAAAGAACCTGGCACGTCTGTGCTGAACCAGGAAGAGTCTTCGGTTGTTAAAAGAAACTACATCTTCTGTCACGCTCACACAGAGCAGGTCAGAGCTGCTGGGAAGTGAGCCAAGTTCTGCCGCCACGTAGGATGACCCGCCTGTCGCTCTTCTGACAGACAGATGAAAAAACAATGGTCCGAATCTGAGCAGCAGAGCTGGAGATATACTGGCCTTTAGGACAAAAACTGAACTGTGGGGCCTTGTACACACACAGGTGTGTGTCTCTACGCTCTGTCCAGTCAGCTCAGTTTGCCACAGGTGGACTCTGGTCAGGTTCAGGACACCTGTCAAACAGGATGTACCTCAGCACAGTGTGGAGCCACAGCAGAGGCTCTGGAGACGTCGGGATATGATGGATCTGTAGATTGCTTATGAATTTACAACGATTTCTAAAAGCATGTTTGCACTTTGTCATCAGGGGTTACTGAGTGTAGACTGATGGACAAAATGGCAGTTTGGTCCATTTTGAAATGAGATCCTCAACAGAGAAGTGTGCACACAGTGAAGGCTCTGACAACGTTGTGAAGTCACTGTAGGTAAAACACTGTTTACTTGCAGTGTTTACTCTGTCTCTGTCTCAGCCATGCTCAGACAACCAAGAAGAACTGATCAGTAAACTGTTTAATTCGCGGATTAACTGACCCCCCCTGACTCTATTGTGTCGGGGGGGGGGGCTGGGGGGGGGGCTGGGGTGGGGGTGGCCCGCCTTCCT